CCCAGGCCACGCGGCCGGGGGGTGGGATCGGTGAAACGAGGCTCATGAACCCGTCCAATCCCCCAGTGTCGTAGCCATCTCCGCTCCAGCGCGCTCGGCTCAAGCTGCTTTCGGGGGGCCTCGCCGCGCCTGGTCGCCGCACATCCAGAGACTCGGGGATGGACAGACCCCCCTTTAGTAAAACGTGGTTTAGTGAAAACGACCTGAGGCCCAAACCTGGCGGGCGCAAGCCTGGAAAATAACGGCCACGGCGCCCTCTCGAGAACCGAAAACGGACAATTCACTAATCGACGTGTCACTGTTGGGGGTTCTGTCCTCCCCCGAGAGACGCAGACCATGATTGCACACACGGTGCTCCTGCTGGTCTTCCTGCAGTCGGGGGCGGAGCTCCTGCCCGGCCCCGACGCCTGCCTCATCCAGACACTCTCGTCGGCCGAGGGCGCCGAGCGGCAGAGGCCGCAGACCACGGCGCCCCCGACGCTGGCGCCAACGGCGTCCCCGACGGTGGCGCCCGGGCTGCCCTGCCCCTGCCTGAAGGACGCCTGCTTCGAGGCCTACGACCGGGATGCCGACCAGTGCCTCAGGGAGGACGAGTGTGCTGTCCAGGCGCCGCTGACGAACTGCAGCAGCCCGACCTGGGACCTGGACGGGGACGGCTGCGTCAACCTCTCCGTCGAGTGGCCGCTCATCTTCGACATGACGAATGGCAGCGTCTGCCCCGTGGAGGCGAGGGCGGACGCGCCGGAGTGCGGGGAGGGGTACTACCTCGACGGGAACCCAGTGGCCTGCATCCAGTGCACCACGGGCGCGACGCGTCGGCGACGCTCGTTCGAGTGCTCCGATTGCGAGTCGGGAGCTTTCGACGCCGGTGACTACGACGACTGCCGCGACGGCAGCTACCTACCGTCTGATGTCGGCGCGGGAGACTTCAATATCCCAGTTACTCCGACTGACCCACCGCTGTCGCCCGGCGACTGCATCGACATCGTCTCAATGTCCCAGTCTGGCGCATGCAACCAGTCCGTCGAGACGGTGTGCATTGAGAGCGTGGGTCCTGGCAGTGAGGTCACTCTCACGACGCCCCTGCAGAACAACTACACCAAATACGCTGGCGTCATCATCTCGTGCACGACGGTGGACGGAACGGAGCTCAGCCGCAAGCACGATTCTAATGGAAATTGCGGGTGCAAGTCGGCGACCTGCGACAAGACAACGATGTGCTCCATCGGCCCCGACAACTGCACATCCACGTGCATCCCGACTGGCCCGTACCCGATCCACCCGACCCCGGCTCCGACCGTGGGTGCCAAGGGCGACCCGCATTTGGTCAATTTGCAGGGCGAGCATTTCGACATCAACCACGGTGGGGACTTCGTGCTGCTGCGGCTCCCGCAGGACTCCGCGCAGGACGCCGAACTCCAGCTGTTGGCCACCGTACAGCCAGAGTTCAAGAAGCCGTGCACCACGTACATCACGCGGGTCGAGCTCTCCGGCTCCTGGCTGGGCAACGTGTCCGTCCAAGTTCGCTCCTACCTCCAGGCCCACCCGGGCCACGAGGGCGCGCATCTGGGGGCCCGCATCCTGAGCCCTGGGGGCGGAGCGGCACCCTGGCAGAGCATGGAGGCCTTCCTGGCCGACGGCCCCGACCTGGTGCTGTCTGCGCCGAACAGCAACTTTCACGTGACGCTGTCCAAGAGCCAGTGGTTCCCCAAGAAGAAGATAGCGGCAGGCGCGCCCACCGTGGCTGGGATGTTTACGCTGAGTGTCCAGGCCCGTAATGCCCCGTCGCCCGCCAAGATCTTGATCCGCCAGGACTTGCCGGAGCAGGAGCACCTGAACTTGGCGGTCCAGCGCGTGTCCGCGCTCGGCAGGATTGACGTGGGCGGCCTTCTCGGCTTCGACGCGCATCCAGCGAGCCTGGAGTACGTCTCGGGCAAGTGCGAGCACCACCGGGCGACGGAGAAGTACAGCGTCGAGAGCCAGGAGGACAACGGGTACTACTTCACGCCCGTGTGGAAGCAGCGGTGGCAGGAAATGAAGCAAAAGCGGAAGCTCGACGCAAATGCCGAGGACGCGCGCGACAACGAAGCAGCTGCCACCCTCATTGACAGCAAGGGGTTGAGCTCCAATATGGTGTGCAAGTGTCCGACCGCGGGGGGGCCTTGGGCCGAGGGCATCGTCATCGAGGAGCCGGCCGCACTGTTCGCCGAGGCGTCCTGGGACTGAGGCCGCGGGCGATCCTGGCCAGCCTCTCTCCGCGTTCGCTGAATTGCCGCCACTGTGGAGCGTATAGCGCAAATCGCCGCAGTGGGTTAGTCGAGAAGCTTTGCCGAGGCCGTCGCTTGCCGCGCGTTTGGCGCGCGGGTGGGGCGTAGCTGGCGTCCCGGCTGTGCTCACGTATTTGTGCTAGATCAGCGCGCGGTTGGCGCGTTGGCTGGTGGTTGTCGCAATGATTGTTTCGCCGTTTTGAACTGGTTTGCAAAAACTGTTTCGCCGCCAACTAAAGTATGTATGTATATTTGTAGATAGATGTATACGTACGTATATAATGGGAGTTACGCTCGCTGTTCGGGGTCGTAGTGTGAACACGGTGTGCTGCTGGTTGTTAAGGCAGTTGTGTATTGGGAAGGCAGTTGTGAAGGCATTGGTAGTTGTTTATTGGGATTTGTCGCCGCAGCCCGCGCAGGGTCGCAGTTGTTTGGCGACAGACGTGCACCCCGTCCAATCCCCCAGTTGCTACATGGTGTATTCCCCAGCCTCAGAAGGCGTCCTGGCTGGTTGCCGTGATGCTGGACGTATTGACGGTCGATGCGGATTTGGCTTAGTTTCTTCGGTAGCTAATTTGGTTCAAGCCGGCTGGTCAAGTTATCTTCGGGCTCGGGATAGAGTTCGAGCAAAGCGCGCACGATGCGACGTGGAGGAATTCAGACTCCTTCGACCTCGACAGCTTGCGCGAGGGAGTACGCAGTGTCGAGGTGCAGTGGGGTTCGCAGCATGTCTAGTTTCGCATCGCACGTTCATCACGATCGGCAGAAGATCGGCCTCGCAATTGCCCAGGAAATCGCCCTCGCTCGCGTCGGGGAGGGTCTTGCCTCAGAGGGCACGAGCAACAAGCAGCTTTTACGCTGGCGCTGCGGCGGGGGACAGCAATGGTTCACCATGCTGAAGAAAGTCAAGGACTGAAATTCTTGGTGCCCTCGCTGTGTCGGTGTGGGCACAAGTGCTTACGGCATCCGTGTATGCAAGGATGTTGCTGCATCTCGCAGTGGAAACTGCTTGGCACACGCTTACATCCACAGCAAATCGCATGTATCATGGCAGTGCGCAAGAGGCCACAGATGACGCGCATCACCAATGTCCTGAACAAGGTGTCGTGGTGCCCACTGTGCACTGGAAGGAAGCTTTCCTCTGTGACAGCCCCGCCCAGGATGTCAGATGGCCACTTCAGAATTCAGAGTTTGGGCAACGATTCGCAGTGGCTTCGCTTGCATGCTGCTGAGGAGTTAGCAAGATGTAGCAAGTCCGTGTGTCTATCAAGTCGGCATGTCTGGTACAAGCTCAAGTTGGAATGGTAGAGTGCACGTTGGTACCGATGGCGTGCGACTGTGACTACGATGATAAGACACGCGAGATGGTGCCATAAATGCTCTTGCGAGGATAGCTTGCAAGAGGCGCGCGGAATCACTTGGCAGCGCGGTGGCAAATGTCGGTCAAACGAACTGGTCGCCATAAGCATGACCCCCTTTGCTCTGGATGTGTGGATGCTCTCACGAGTGGTCGTCCACCTCGCTGCGGGCAAGGCTCGGTGGTTGGTGCCCGTGCTGCTCTGGAAGGGCTGGTGAGAGACTATGTATGTGTTCGGTTTGCGGTTCTCACAGTGCCGCCCCGTATTCCTGAGGTCGTGTTCGGGGCGCCGGGGCCAGGAGCTCGACGGCTGCAGCCCGGGACTGAGCTGGGGGCTTCGAGTGCAGCGGTAAGCAGCATTGCAGCCCTCAACTACATTGTTTTTCCCAGAATCAAGGCTAAAAGTACGGTGGCTGCGACGCAAGCTGCGCGAGGCGGCTCACGGGCCAAAATGCTTACGATTCGGGTGCACGCTGTGGGTTCCCTTCAACTGAGAAGGTCGCCATGTGCAAGGCATTTGGAGTGCGTCTCATCCTTGTGTCATTTTTTATGAGGGACTAGTGGATCTGTATCCAGCTTCAGCTGCTCAGGTGGTTCAGAATTCGCGAGGTGATGCTGGCCCAGTGGGAAGCGCAAGTGTTCGCACATGATGCGTCGACGCGCGGCGAACCGTTCGAGCAGAGCCAACAAGTTTCCCATTTGGGCTGACACTTGCAAGTGGTGGTCGTCGATCGCAAAACCTTCCTCGAGCCGCTTGCCCCTGAACTTTTCGACCCCTTCCACAGTGCCAGTTGTGCATCCCGATTCGATGCTTGATGACCCCAAGGCTTGCACGCAGCCTCCAGACACCGAAAACTATGAAGCCGAAGACAGCAGCGCGGAAAATGGAGGATGCTCCGCTGCAGTGTCTCTTGGCGGAGCACCGAGGGGCCACACGCAGAGGCCGCTCGCAGCAGTGAGGAGAGACGATCCGGATATATTGGACATGGCTGTAACAGCGGTGACGATTGCGAATACGACGGTGGTGATGGCAATGGTGATCCAGCTGCCTCCTCCTCCTCATCCTCCACCTCCACCTCCCTTTCCTCCTCCTCCTCCTCCTCCTCCTCCTTTTCCTCCTCCTCCCTTTCCTCCTCCTCCTCCTCCTCCTCCTGCTTCTCCTCCTCCTCTTCCTCCTCCAGGCAGAGGGCGGCCCGGTGGCGGGGCCTCGAGGCAGAAGGCCCCGGGATCGGATGGCGGCAGACCACGGTCGGGGTGGCGAGGTCGAGGCAAGGCGGAGGCCAGGTGGTGCAGCAAGCCCCACAGCCGCGCCCGCGCAGCAGCGCAGCAGCGCAGCAGGAAGGTGGTTGGATTTTTGAGGGCTGCTCCTGTTCGGAGTTCTGCTTGTGAACGGGCGCGGGTTTTTTGAACATCTCATCCTTGTCCGCAACGACGTCCTCATAGTCCGTCTTCTTTCTCCCTCAATGCCCTCTGTCTCCCCGTCCCTCGCCTTTCTTTTGAAGGCATCTTGGGGGATTCGCTCAAGGGAGGAAAAACCACCCGGACCCGAGAACTGGCGTTTACTAAACGACCTTGGGCGTTTACTAAACAGTCCTGTCAAGTTCGATTCCTTCTTCGGGTGCGTTTACTAGACGGCTTCGCGTGTCGGGGTGATTATTATGAGGGTGGATTTCCTGCTCTCTATTCGTGGGGACCTTCTTGGGAGCTTGTTGGAGACCCGTCGGGAGGTATCGTGGTCGTCTTGGGTGCGGTGGTTTCACAGAGTTCTCTCGAAGAGCAGGTTCGTTTCTGAACGATTTCGGGAGTCGTCTGGCCGGGTCTTGGAGCTGTGTTGGAGCCCTTCTCGGCTGCCTTAGGGGGGGTTCTCGGGTAGTCGTCGGGCGGACTGAGGACCGAGGGGGCAGTTTGCGGGCCGGCTCGAAGGCTCCTAGGGCTCTCAAAGAGAGCTTGCCCGACGCGATATGGAGCCAAAAAGCGTCGTAAGCACAAGCCAGGGATTATCCGAGGTTGTTTCAATGTGTTTTGCCTCTGGGGGCCTCGGTGGAGGCCTCTCTGAGCGTCCCCATGGGGGCTTCTTGGGGACTCTAGGGGTGCCGCGGAGAGATCTTGGAGCCTTTGAGAGCTCGAAGCGGCGCCTTTGGATGGTTTTGGGGCGTTTTGCATTCGGGGGCAGTCTTCGGCTGTCTGGGAGCCGTCTGGATCAGGGGGGCGAGTGAGCCGATCCAGCGACACCCCCATTTTCATGCCTTACTTCTCTGCCCCCACAGAGTGGGAAGGGCACGGGGCGGCAGAAGCGGTGAGAGCAGGACAAGCACATCGGGGTGGCATCTGCGGGCATGTGTGTGTGTGACCATGGGGGCGGCCGCCAGGGGCAAGTTATGGTTGGAAGCCCGCAGGCGTAGACAACCAATAATGAGTCCAGAAGGCGCAGGGATCGAACTTACAGCTGCTTCGCAGCGAGTCACTTGACGAATTCTCAGACCTAAGCAAAGCTCGGTGCCTTGCGGGTTCCTGGCCAAGTCATTGTATGCCAATTCTGGACGCTGCGCGTACCCTCACCAGCTCTGCCTTCCCGCGTGCTGTGTCCCAGCCTCGTTCACACCGCCCTCTAGACTTTTCCTTGCGGGCCGCGAATCAAAAAAGTATCCTCACCAGCTGCGCCCCTGTCGAGATTGACCCGCTCTCTGGAGACGTCCTTGGAGCCGCAGATCAAAAAGTATCCTCACCAGCCTTCTAATTTAGATCGTGGCTTGCTGCTTCGTTCTGACGGCGCCAGGCACACCTGCGCGCTCGCGAACAAAAAAGTATCCCCACCAGCCGATCCGGACTCCCGTCCGTCGAGCACCTGCATGCCAGCTGGCCTTTTCATTGGTGTCGACGCGCGGCTGACTGCCTTCAGTCTGCTTACGAGGTGCCTGCCCCACGGCGCGAACTGCTGTTCGGTCGTCGCCACTCACTCGTTCCGCCGCCACCCACATCAGCGTTCGACGCAGCTGAAGGCTTGATCCCCGCGCAGGGATGCATAGCCCTTGCCGCGCTCAGCCCCCCGCGTGCTGCCCCCCGCACAGGCGCAGGCGCTTGCGGCCCGCTATCTCACACGGGGTTGCTCCTCGCCGCGGCCACGGACACCACACTGCCAGCCAATTACCCGCCAGTTTGGCGTGCACCTCCGGCGGTTGCTAGCTGCCGATGGCACCCCCTCCGTGAGCACCGCGCGGCCCGCCCCGGCTAGTCTCACATCCCGTTGTGTTCTTGTTGTTTCTCTTATTCTCTCTCTCTCTCTCTCTCTCTCTTTCTCTCTCTCTCTCTCTCTCTCTCTCTCTCTCTCTCTCTCTCTCTTTCTCCTCTATATCTTTCTCTCTCTCTCTCTTTTCTCTTCTCTCTCTCTCTCTCTCTCTCTCTCTCTCTCTCTTTCTCTCTCTCTCTCTCTCTCTCTCTCTCTCTCTCTCTCTCTCTCTCTCTCTCTATATAGATATATTTCTCTATGTTTCTCTTGTTCTCTCTCTCTCTCTCTCTCTCTCTCTTTCTCTCTCTCTCTCTCTCTCTCTCTCTCTCTCTCTCTCCCACCCACACATGTTCATCCATTACCCCTCCCTCATCCCTCTTTGTGCTCCCATGTTCTGCATTGCTGCCATTTCGTGCTTGAGCGATTTCAGGGACCGTGGTTGCCCACGCGACGCTCACAGCAAGGACGGTGGTCGCCGCCATAGCTTGGAACGAACATCATCGCAGACAGTGGCTCCCTCATCTTCTGGATAAGCACGGCCACATACGGCGACGGGTATGCAGAGTTCGAGTGCCGTCCAATCGACGGGGCGCTTCCATATATATACAAATATATATATATATATACACACATACATCGTGCACATAG